CCCTCGGAGCATTCTGACTTAGCTCCTTCCTCTTTCTCATCAGACAGCAGAGAGAACAAAGGACAATAGTCCTACTTCACGGAACACAGTAACACAAGGATCCTGTCTCCGTCACTTCCCACTCTGTGGAATGAAAACATACACCGTCATGTGATAGACAACAATCCCATGACTGCAGACATGGGGAATGACTCTCCAATAGGTAGTGGTTGTAGTAGGCCTGCTGGGGTCTCGCAGGGCCTCCTTGGCCACAAGAAGTTTCACATTACTAGGCATTCTGTCTTCCATTGCCCAAAATGGCCTGCTGTCGGACTATCGTGGCATTGTCTGAGTACCTTGGCTCAGAGTTCCCCTTCTGGGACGTAGAGGGTTCCCCCTCTGTACAGCAACCCTCCTCTCTCTGTGAATTCCTTTGCATCACTCCCCCGTTTTGTATCACCTCTTTCTTTTTCTGAGCAAACCCATCTGGACTCTCAGGCCTAACTGCAGAGCGGCTTGCCCCACCTCTTCCAAGGTGTTCAACTTTGGCATTTCTGCAAGTTCATCGCAAATCTCCTCGCAGAGTCCCGCTTTGAACAGGGCAATCAAGGCCTTCCCTGCCCACTCCAGTTGACAGGCGTGCATCATAAAACTGGACCAATACTGTGCTACTGTCCCCTTTCCTTGCCTGAGGTTCAGGAACTCCTGTTCCAACTACGCCTATTGTGCGGGATTCCTGAGTATGTTGTCCAAGAGCTTCAAAAAGGCAGGTAAATTAGTGAGCACGCGGTCATTGACATCAGGTAAGGGGTAATCCACTGTCTAGCCACCGCCCCAGAAGCCCCACAGTCGTGGCTATTCTTGCTTCATCATCTCTGTAGAATTATAGAATCATAGAGTTGGAAGAGACCACAAGGGCCATCGAGTCCAACCCCCTGCCAAGCAGGAAACACCATCAGAGCACTCCTGACATATGGTTGTCAAGCCTCTGCTTAAAGACCTCCAAAGAAGGAGACTCCACCACACTCCTTGGCAGCAAATTCCACTGTCGAACAGCTCTTACTGTCAGGAAGTTCTTCCTAATGTTTAGGTGGAATCTTCTTTCTTGTAGTTTGGATCCGTTGCTCCGTGTCCGCTTCTCTGGAGCAGCAGAAAACCACCTTTCTCCCTCCTCTATGTGACATCCTTTTATATATTTGAACATGGCTATCATATCACCCCTTAACCTCCTCTTCTCCAGGCTAAACATGCCCAGCTCCCTTAGCCGTTCCTCATAAGGCATCGTTTCCAGGCCTTTGACCATTTTGGTTGCCCTCCTCTGGACACGTTCCAGTTTGTCAGTGTCCTTCTTGAACTGTGGTGCCCAGAACTGGACACAGTACTCCAGGTGAGGTCTGACCAGAGCAGAATACAGTGGCACTATTACTTCCCTTGATCTAGATGCTATACTCCTATTGATGCAGCCCAGAATTGCATTGGCTTTTTAGCTGCCGCGTCACACTGTTGGCTCATGTCAAGTTTGTGGTCAACCAAGACTCCTAGATCCTTTTCACATGTACTGCTCTCAAGCCAGGTGTCACCCATCTTGTATTTGTGCCTCTCATTTCCCCCCCCCCAAGTGCAATACTTTACATTTCTCCCTGTTAAAATTCATCTTGTTTGTTTTGGCCCAGTTCTCTAATCTGTCAAGGTCGTTTTGAAGTGTGATCCTGTCCTCTGGGGTGTTAGCCACCCCTCCCAGTTTGGTGTCATCTGCAAATTTGATCAGGATGCCCTTGAGTCCATCATCCAAGTCGTTGATAAAGATGTTGAATAAGACCGGGCCCAAGACAGAACCCTGTGGCACCCACTAGTCACTCTTCTCCAGGATGAAGAGGAACATTGATGAGCACCCTTTGGGTTCGGTCAGTCAGCCAGTTACAAATCCACTGAGTGGTAGCATAGTCAAGACCGCATTTTACCAGCTTCTTTACAAGAATATCATGGGGCAGCTTGTCAAATGCCTTGCTGAAATCAAGGTAGGCTACATCCACTGCGTTCCCTTCATCTACCAGGCATGTAATTCTGTCAAAAAACGAGATCAGGTTAGTCTGACATGACTTATTTTTCAGAAATCCATGCTGACTATTGGTGATCACAGCATTCCTTTCTAGGTGCTCACAGACTGTTTGCTTAATGATCTGCTCCAGAATCTTCCCTGGTATTGATGTCAGACTGACTGGGCAGTAATTATTTGGGTCCTCTCTTTCCCCCTTTTTGAAAATAGGGACAACATTTGCCCTCCTCCAGTCTGCCGGGACTTCGCCTGTTCTCCAGGAATTCTCAAAGATGACTGCCAGTGGTTCTGAGATCACATCTGCCAGTTCTTTTAATACTCTTGGATGCAGTTCATCTGCCCCTGGAGATTTGAATACATCTAAACTAGCCAAGTATTCTTGTACTATCTCCTTAGTTATTCTGGGCTGTGTTTCCTCTGCTGAATCATTTGCTCCAAATTCTTCAGGTCGGGCATTGTTTTCTTTATCGGAGAAGAATGAGGCAAAGAAGGCATTGAGGAGTTCAGCCCTTTCTGTGTCCCCTGTTTGCATTTCACCATCTTCTCCTCTGAGTGACCCCACTGTTTCTTTGTTCTTTCTTTTGCTACGAACATACCCATAAAAGCCTTTTTGTTGCTTTTAACCTCTCTAGCAAGCCTGAGTTCATTCTGTACTTTAGCTTTTCTGACTTTGTGTCTACACGTGCTGGCTATTTGTTTGAATTCCTCTTTGGTGGTTTCCCCTTTTCCATTTTTGTACACATCCTTTTTAATCTTAACTCAGTTAAAAGTTCTTTAGATAGCCACCGTGGCTTCTTTAGGCACCTTCCATGTTTCCGTCTCATTGGTATTGCCTGAAGTTGTGCTTTTACTATCCCCTCTTAACAAACTCCCAGCCATCATGAACTCCCTTTCCTTTTAGTATTACTGTCCATGGGATCTCACCCAGCACTTCCCTAAGTTTTATGAAGTCGGCTTTCTTAAAGTCAAGAAATTCAGTCCTAGTATGCTTGGCTGCTCCTTTCCGCTGTATAGTAAACTTCAGAAGAGCATGATCACTCGCGCCTAATGATCCTTCCACTTCTACCCCACTAACCAGGTCATCAACATTGGTTAGGACCAGATCTAAAATGGCTGTTCCTCTTGTTGCTTCTCCCACTTTCTGGACAATGAAGTTGTCTGCAAGGCCAGTGAGGAATCTGTTTGACCTTATGCTCTTGGCTGAGTTTGACATCCAACAAATATCCGGGTAATTGAAGTCCCCCATTACTACTATCTCCCTTCCTTTGGCATGCTTGGCCATCTGTTCCAGGAAGGCATCATCTATGTCCTCCGTTTGGCTTGGGGATCTATAGTAAACTCCCACAACGAGGTCACTGTTATTCTTCTCTCCCTTAATTTTGACCCAAATGCTCTCACTTTGGCTTTGAGGTTCTAAATCTTGGATCTCTTCACAGGTATACACATCCCTGACATATAACGCCACTCCTCCTCCTTTCTTGTCTGGTCTGTTTCTCTGAAATAGATTGTATCCCCCATTATTACATTCCAATCGTGGGACTTATCCCACCAGGTTTCAGTGATGCCTATTATGTCATATTTAGTTTGCTGTACCAAGAGCTCAAGCTCATCTTGTTTATTTCCCATGCTTTGCGCATTAGTGTACAGACATTGAAGTCCATTAATCATTCCCCGTGTCTCTTATTTAAGGATTTTTTCCTCCCACCACTAGGTCTGCGTGCTGTTTACTCCATTTGGTCTATGACATTTGGATGATCATCTTCATCAATTGATAGACTCCTACCTTCAGGAGCACTGTCTCCTTCCCCCACATTAGTCAGTTTAAAGCCCTCCTGATGAGGTTTCTGAGATTTTTGGCAAAAACATTTCTCCCAACCGTTGTGAGGTGCAGCCCATCGCTTGCCAGAAGTCCATCTTCAAGAAACTGGAGTCCGTGATCTAAGAATCCAAACCGTTCCTGTTTACACCATTTGCGAAGCCAGCTGTTCACTTCCACTATTTTCCCCGCTCTCCCTGGGCCACGTCGTTCAACTGGGAGGACAGATGAGATCACAATTTGTGCATTTAATTGCTTCAATTTCCTGCCCAGAGCCTCGTAGTCTCTTTTGATCTTCTGGAGGCTATTGCTTGCAGTGTCATTGGTTCCCACATGAACCAAGAGGAAGGGGTATTTGTCAGTGGGTTTTATGATTCCTTGCAGTCGTTCAGTTACATCTTGGATCTTAGCCCCGGGGAGACAGCACACCTCCTGAGACATCTTGTCAGGCCCACAGATCACTGCCTTTGTTCCCCTCAGTAGGGAATCCCCTATCACCACTACACGCCTCCTCTTAGGTTTGGTTGGGGTTCTTCCGTGAGCTATCCGTTCCAAGGTCGCCTGCACATTCCCTGAGGACTGACTTTGCTGCTCGTCTTCATATACCTGATCGACTGTAATGAGGGAGATCCTCAAATGGAGTCTGCTCTTCGTCTTCCATGCTAGGGGAGAGGACCTCAAAGCGATTGTGTATTCTTCCCCTTTAAGATGTAGGCAATATAAGCAGGAGGCTCAGAAGGAGTCATACTCTGCCCTATTCCCATTGAAGTGTGGGGGAGGGGGGACTAGGTTTTTTGCAGTTTGCCTACTGGATAAGTCAGAGAGCTGTCTTGCCTGTTCTCCCATAACTCCTTCCAGTCGTGCTAATATTATCTTTAATTCTTGATTCTCTGCCCAGAGAAATTGTGTAGGATCCACTGCCGTTGGAGCCTCTGCAGCTGCCGCTCCTTGCCCGGCTTGCATATCCACGGGCTGCTGCTGCTGTCGCTTTTCAGCCATCCTTGCTTAATTATCTGATGGGCTTTCGTTCTCAGCAGCAGTTGAGTTGAGTCATGCTGTAGTGGCAGCAAGACTTGAACACGTACAGTCAAGTAAAAGTTGGTTTTATTCCTGAAAAAACTTGCCTCCTGTCCGGAGCTCTCGGCCCCCATGACTTATGGCTACCCTTATGATGACTCAACTAAATCCTCAGCGTTGTTCCTATTCCTCCAGAAACAACGCATGAAGACGAATCTCTTCTGTCACTTCTATGATGTCAATTTCCCCTTTTCTTGCACCCCTTCTCTTCTGCGTTCCTGCACTCTGAGGGGCTTGGAAACTCGCTCAGACAAGCTATTGTCTGATAACTCCTGTATTTCTCTGGGCTGTGACCTCCCCCCTGTACTTTCCTCTGTTCTTCCCATAACAATCCTCCCTTCATCCCCTGGGCAGCCATTCAAGTCTGGCAGCTGCTGTTGCTCGCTTGTTGGCTCCAGCCTGACAAATACCGATAACTGAACAAACTTTGTTGCATTACATTCTGGATTAAATTATCTTTCCATTGATAAATAATTTCACAATATTATTAATAATACCTTTATTGTCATTGTACAACCTGTGTACAATGAAATTCAACGAGCCTACCTCCCAAAGAAGTGGTGTTATGAGCCATCAAACCTGTGAAATACACTTTCCCCCATAAGGCTTCTACAATTTTACCACTACTGTATATCAAGCAAAGCAACATTCAACAACCATTACAATCTAATAATAAATACATTGGTTAATGACAGACAACAAAGGCAATGAACACACACCCAACTCCCTTCAGTTCTCCTTCATTTGTTCCTGAGGCTCAAATCTCTTTTTGCCTCCATTGCAGATTGTAATGAATTGCAGATCAAGAACAAGCCTGAACATGACAAAATCCTCAGAGAGGAGAAGCCACGTAAGAATTTGGAGAGTGGAGAGAGCTGCAGTCAGAGCTCCCATTCCACTTCCCAAAAAAGAAATCTCATTGGAAAGAAACCCTATCAGTGCATGGAATGTGGAAAGAGAGTCAGTAGCAGCTCCGATCTCACTAAACATCAAAGAATTCATACAGGGGAGAAACCCTATCAGTGTTTTGAATGTGGAAAGACCTTCAGTCGGAACGGCTCTCTCACTTCCCATCGAAGAATTCATACAGGAGAGAAACCCTATCAGTGCGTGGAATGTGGAAAGAGCTTCAGTCACAGCTCTGCTGTCACTAAGCATCAGAGAATTCATAAAGGGGAGAAACCATATCAGTGCTTGGAATGTGGAAAGAGCTTCAGTTACAGCCAAAGTCTGACTTCCCATCAAAAAATTCATACAGGGGAGAAACCCTATGAGTGCATAGAATGTGGAAAGACCTTCAGTCGGAACGACTATCTCACTTCCCATCAAAGAATTCATACAGGGGAGAAACCCTATCAGTGCATGGAATGTGGAAAGAGCTTCAGGGAGAGCTCCAAACTCACTTCCCATCAAAGAATTCATACAGGCGAGAAACCATATCAGTGTTTTGAATGTGGAAAGAGCTTCAGTCAGAGCGCCCATCTCACTTCCCATCAAAGAATGCTGTCACTAAGCATCAGAGAATTCATAAAGGGGAAAAACCCTATCAGTGCTTTGAATGTGGAAAGAGCTTCAGTCAGAGTAATGATCTTACTTCCCATCAAAGAATTCATACAGGGGAGAAACCCTATCAGTGTGCGGAATGTGGAAAGAGCTTCACTCACAGCCACTATCTTACTTCCCATCAGAGAATTCATACAGGGGAGAAACCCTATCAGTGCATTGAATGTGGAAAGAGCTTTAGTCGGAGCTACTCTCTCACTTGTCATCAAAGAGTTCATATTGGGGAGACATCCTGCATTATATAGCTTTAGGAGACAAGGAAATCTGCACTTTTTAAACCAGGCCTTTGGCTGATTGATATCTAATGTCCTTTTAAAATGTGGTGAGAAGAGGGTTACACATGTGTCTTTTGTGTTTTTATATTGTGTTTTTGTTTTATGTTGTAACCGTCCTGACACGTGGCAACAGGAGTCAATCTTTAGAGGCTGAGGGTTTTTTGCCCCCCCCCCAATAAAACATTTGAGGGGGTCACCACCCAAGTTAGTAGGCATTGCTATTCTAATGGCCTGCATGCATCATGTGATTGATTATGCAAGGCAGGCCTTACCTGACCCACCACCAATATTATATTCAAGTCAGCACCACTGGGTCAAGTGGTATGCAAATTAAATAAATACATAAATCGCCTTCATTTGCACGTTCCAGCTTGTCAATATCCTTATTCATTATCATTTTTAAAATTTATGTACCCTTCACCTGATGATTTCACAACATAAACACAAAGGATGAAAGCATGGCTTTCTCAAAAACAAGTAAATCCAGAGAAATCTCTCCTCCCCTTTTTTTGGATGGAGTTATAAACTTTGTTGATCAGGGGAGAGCTGTGGAAATAGTGCGTCTTGATTTCAGTAAGGCTTTTGACAACGTCCCCTGTGATCTTTCTGTGAGGAAGCTGGTAAAATGTGGGCTGAACGAGGAAACTGTTAGGTGGATTTGACTGACCAAACCCAAAGAGGACTCCTTCATGGTTCCTCATCATCCTGGGGTGCTGCAGGGTTCTGTCCTGGGCCCGTTGTTGTTCAACGTCTTTATAAATGACTTGGATGAAGAAGCTGAGGGGATGCTCATCACATTTGCAGATGACACCAAATGGGGAGCAAAGGCAATGTGGCAGAAGGCAGAATCAGATCAAGGGCAGGAATAGTACCACTTTATTCTGCCTTGGTCAGGCCCCACCTAGAATACTGTGTTCAATTCTGGGCACCACAAGTTAAGTATCTTAAATATTGGCTGCCTGGAGAAATCAAGAAGGTGGGGAAACATAATCCATATTCCTTTTATAACATGTGGCCAATATTTGTTGAATACATGTATTTTTAATACTGTTGTAGGAATCCACCCAGCACTCAGTAATTGTTATTAAACATTAAATATGGGGCACTTAAGCACTACCCGCTCCCCCTCCTGATCTCTCAGAGCGAAAATACCTCTGTGGGCGGGATCGGCTAATAGGATAGCTTGAAGAACTGGGTCAGTCACCAGCCCTGTGTGTACCTAGAGAAAACCACTGTAGGGATAGTAAGTTGTGATGGTAGTGAGTCGCACATGAGTGCAGTTCATTTAAAGTTGGTTTTATTTCAAGAAAAGAACAGATTACCAGGAGCTCCTCTCCCGCGAGCTGGTCGCCATTACGATGATGACTCAACTAAGTTCTCAGTGTCATGTTTCATCCTACAAATGCAACGTGGGAGGAACCTTCTCTTCGTATGCAGGGACTAATCGCATCCTCTTTCCTGTAACCCCCCCCCCCCCCGCTCTTGAATATTCAAAGGCTGGCCCACCATTTCTGAGAGGCTATCTGTGGAGTTCGGCCTTTCACCTACATTCTGGGAGAGTGTTTCCATGATAACCCCCCCCTCCTTTTGCTCTGGGCCATCTTCCAACCCTGGCAGCTGCTTGGACTCTGAAAGAGGTGTTGAAAACAAATGAAATTAGACACAAGTGGGAATTTCCTGAAGGTATTTCCTTCACTTACAAAAATAGAAGAAAGATAGAAGAAAGACTTTCAGATCTCCAGAATTCAGAAAATCTTGGCGGAAATACAAAATAGACCTGGGAGGGGGTACAGCTCAAGAAAGAGAAGAAAGAGAACAAGGACAGGAAAGTCCAGGAGGATAAGAAAAGAAGCAGTTTCCCACAACTATATTATTGTACTTAATTGCATTTCCGTATTTGATGTTGATATTTGACTTTGTGTCTAATAAAGATTAATGAATTTGAACATTATATCGTGGAACATCAATGGTTTGAACAATAAGGTAAAAAGGGATAAAACAGCGTATCTTAAGAAAGAAAAATTGGGACGTCATTGGTCTCCAGGAAACCCATATAGCAAAGAAACATGACAGAGTTTTGTTTTGTTTTTTATAAATTTTATTTTATAACACCATAAAAACAAAAAAGACAAACACAACACATTCACACCAAAAAAAAACTAAATAAAGAAAAATATATATATATATAATATATATATATACTCCTGACATAAGACAACAACAAATTAACTACATTAACTACATAACACACAACACTGACTGACTTCCCTTCATCTCGGTTTCGGAATGTGTTATAAAATTTTTCTATCTGCAGTTTCTTTTCCTCAAAAAAAAATTCTTTACATCACAAGTGTTATATCGCACCTACTGTGTTTTTTAGTTTTTTTTACCTCTGTTTCCATGTATGCCATGAATTTATTCCAATCTTTATTAAACTTTGTGTCTTTTTGATTTCTTATTTTCTGTGTCATTTTTGCCAATTCTAGATAGTCGAGTAGTTTCGATTGCCATTCATTTATGGTTGGGATTCTTGGTGTCTTCCAATTCTGCGCTATTAGAGTTCTGGCGGCCACTGTCGCGTACTGAAAGAGTGTTTGATCTTCCTTTTGATTTCCTCTCCAATTATCCCCAGCATAAAGGCTTCAGGTCTCTTTATAAAGGTATATTTAAAGATTTTTTTAGTTCATTGTAAATAGATTCCCAAAATTTTCTAATAGGCTCGCACAACCACCACATATGATAAAAATCGCCCTCCTTAATCTTGCACTTCCAGCATAATTTATCACCAGTTTTATATATTTTTTCCAGTTTTACGGGCGTTACGTACCACCTGTACATCATTTTGTACATATTTTCCCTGAGTGTTGTGCATGCCGAGAATCTCATACCTTTATTCCATAGTGCCTGCCATTTATCAAACTCTATGTTATATCCAAAGTCCATTGCCCATCTCACCATTACCTCCTTTACTTCTTCATCTTTGGTGTCCCATTCGAGCAACAGGCTATACATTTTCGATAGGAGTTTTGTTTTACTTTCTAATATTTCAATCTGGAATCTAGATTTTTCTCACTTATCCCATTTTTTTATCCTCGGTCCAGATAGAGTTGATTTGATGAAATTGGATCCAACCTGTCAATTTGTTCTTTATTTCTTCATATGGCCTAATCCTCCAACCGATCTCTGTTTTTACTAATAAATCTTCGTAGGTCCATCTTTCTCCTTCGATATTTGTTTTTTTTTATTGTCAGGATATCGATTGGCGAAAGCCACCAAGGGGTATTCTGTTCCAATAATTTTTTTATTTCTTTCCCACACCTCCAGTAATGGCCCTCTGAAGATATGGTTAGAAAATCCTTTATGGATCTTTCCCTTATTACGCCATAGGTAAGCGTGCCAACCGAATCTTAAATCAAATCCTTCTAAATATAGCAGATCTTTATTTTTATAATAATCCAATCCTTGACCCAACAGAGGCAAGAGGCTTCATAATATAACTTTAAATTTGGGACTGCGAATCCTCCTCTATCTCTTTGGTCTGTGAGTAATTTGAATCTAATTCTCGGCCTTTTCCTTGCCAGATGAATTTAGAAAGTATTTTCTGCCAGCCCTTGAATATTGATGTTCCCCTGATTATTGGTATATTCTGAAATAAGAATAGCAGTTTCGGTAATAGACTCATTTTTATTGCCGCCATTCTCCCCGACCAGGATAGCTTTATTCTATTCCAGGTATCTAAGTCCTTCCTTATTTCTTTCCATGCGGTTGTATAATTATCTTCCATCAAATTAATGTTCTTTGTCGTTAACCAGATTCCAAGGTATTTTACTTTTTGGTTACTTTAATTCCAGTCTGAGATTCAAGGTGGTTTTTTACCTTCTCTTCTACATTTTTAATCAACATTTTAGTTTTTGTTCTGTTTAATTTAAAACCGGATAGTTTTCCGAATTCTTCTAACAGATCTAACACCTTACTGACACTCTCTTCTGGATCCTCCAAAGACAACATAAGGTCATCAGCATAAGCTTTCAATTTGTATTCTTTCACTCCTATTTTTATTCCGCGTATCTCTGAAGTTTTTCTTATCTTATTTGTAATTATCTCTAACATCATAATAAACAGAAGATGTGACAGAGGGCACCTCTGCCTAGTACCCTTCGAGATTTCAAAGGGTTCTGTTAAGTTATTATTAATAATTAGTTTAGCACTTTGCTGTGAGTAAATTGCTTTTATTCCTTCCAGGAATGTGCCTCTATCCCTGTCATTTCCAAACATTTTATAAGAAAACGCCAGGATACGTTATCGAATGCCTTTTCGGCATCAATAAACAGTAAAGCTGCAGGGATTTCGTTTTTGCATTCTAAGTACTCAATGATATTTATTGTATGTCTTATGTTGTCTTTTATTTGCCTATTGGGTAAAAAACCAGCCTGGTCGGTATGGATAAGATTAACTAGGCATTTTTAAGTCGAGTCGCCATTATATCTGCATAGATCTTATAATCATTATTCAATAGTGAAATCGGTCTGTAATTCTTAATATTCAGCCTATTCGAGTCAGGTTTCGGTATCAGCGTAATGTATGCCTCTTTCCATGACGCTGGTGTTCTTCCTTCTCTTAAAATCTCGTTCATTACTTCACATAGCACTGGTGTAATAAGTTCTTCTAGGACTTTATAATACTTGGCTGACAATCCATCTGGGCCTGGGGCTTTCCCCAGTTTCATCCTCTTTATCGCCTCTTGAATTTCCTCTGTTTTTATGGGTTTATTTAATAAATTTCTTTCCTCTTCCGATATACTGTTGATTCTGTTTTCTTCTAGATATTTTCCCATTTCTATTTCATCTTCTTCTTCTCTTTTATATAGGTTTTCATAGAATTTAAAGGAAGCTCTTTTTTATTTCATTAGGGTCTTCCAAGATTTGGTCTTCTACTTTTATTTTATTAATAAGATTTTGTTTTCTTCTTTTCCTCAACTGCCACGCCAGGAACTTTCCAGTTTTATTTGCAGATTCAAAA